AGGGGGATTTTGGGAAATGTAGTCAAGAGTGAAGAATCACCATGTAATCCCGGGAAGAGAGGATGCATGAAGCTGTTACCTTGTTACGATAAGACCTTATATAAACATATATTAGTAGTTATGGGTTAATAATTAAGTCAGATCAAGCCATTAACAAACCATAGCAAATGGCCAATAGTTTTATAATTAATATAGCATCCTGCGTGTTCATTTGCAACTGATGTGGCTCTGGTACCAGCCTGGCGGGAAGAATTTCCAAACAGTATACTGATATCATAGAAAATGGCATTAAAATATACAAACTTTTCATTTCTTAGTTTGTAATCACTTACTTGTTTTTCACTGTTTTCCATAGTAGGAGCTGACAGTAAAGGGACCTACAAATGTTACCCCAAAGGTTCAAAGATCATAGCTTGTGAATAGATAATGAGACAAAATGAAATATTGTGTATCACTTTCATTATGAAGCAACTGGCAACATGTAAAGGGTCAGTGCGAAAAATTAAGCTAAAGCTGAAGCTGACTGTTCCAGTATTTCAGAACTCTTGAGTGGGTGGAAAGTTTGGGCGAATAGTGAATTAAATTTAGCCTGCAAAGGTTTCTTGCCTGTGGGAAAAATAATTGCTTCATTCTATTGCCAAAAGGCAAAGCAGCATCAGCTTAATTTTCCCTAGTCTGCCATCAATTGCAGATGGAATGATAAAACATAGTTAGGATAAAACCAAACACATCTGTCCTAGTCTAAAGCAGGTGAGGCTATCTCTTCAAGAAACATCAAGATAGTACCACTGCACAGATTGCAGCACACAGAACGCTAGTGGAGGACCTGCTGGTGGTGGAGACGAAACACTATGTGATCTGTATTGTTTTGTTATTTTCTTTATTGAGCTGCCTTCTTGTGCTCGCTGTCATCATAGCTATAAGTCCTATCAACCAAGGTAATGATTAAATAAAAAGAATCATTTATTTGAACTCCAAGGGCTTATTAAGTTTTAACTATTTTTTCTCCTTCCGGTATGTATTTAATTTGAATTGCAGAGAACCAGAAGTTTTGACAAATACATCAATTGGACATGATTTTATCCAGGACACTGATTTTCTCTTAAAAGTGTCATCCAAACCTACACCATCATCTTAGTAACAACTATATGTAGAAAATAGCAGGGTAAGGTATGGGTTTGGTAAACATAACTGTAAAGCCAGATAGCTTTGAAAATGAATGCTATTGAGCCCAATTAAATTTTATGGGACAACATGCCTTTACATATACATAGTTCACACAGTTTACAACCCTTTCTGCAGAATTTGTGGGATAACGCTTGGAATCTCTCTGATTCTCATTAAGCCAGTACTATTCATAAAGAAAGCACCAGTGCCTGGTTGTCCTTATCCCAGAGGTACTCTCTCAAAGTGTCGGTTTTGCCCTGGAGCATCCTACTGTTTTATAGAAGACCTCATTGAGCCTGTATTAGACTGTGGCTGTTTCTGGCTATTTCTGCCTCTGCCTTTTTTGTCCTCAGTTCCTCTAGACCTTGCACAGGTGTAAGACATGTATTTTAAGATGAAGCCTTTCTATGTTTGCTTTTGGTTTTCATCATCCCATCCTTCAGAGACTTTACCTCTAATTGTAATTTGTAATTGTAGGCAAAATGATTACTTAGTGGTCATAGAACTGCCAGAATTTAGTCAGTACTTCTTCGTCAACATTTGTATATGCTTTTCTTTTTCTGGTTTGTGGTGCTGAGTACATGCTCTCCTGAATGCTAGTCAAGTGCTCTACCATAGAGGCTCACCTTAAAAGGCTAATGTTGTTAAATTCTTGAGTTTCTTTTCATATCTTTGTCTTGAACAACACAAGCACAATGAGAATGCAATTGGGTATAGCAAAAACAGATTCACAATAAGACCCCCTAATAGCTCCCCATGGGTTCTATTTTTGCTTATTTTTGTTGTCTATGGTTTGTGCAAGGCCAAAATTTTATGTTCTGATCAGATTACCCACCTAATACTAGAGGACCTTTGTGAATATCTGGCAGATAATGACATACTAAATTTCACTTGTGAACACTGTGACATTTATACTAACCAGGACCTAACTTCTGGATTCTAACACTTCTTGTATTTTTTTCGAAAGCATATTTCTTTATCTCTTGGAATATTTACTTATGAGCTGAAGGATCTCTCATCTGCCCTATCATGTCCTTTCTCTGCCCTTAATGATTCACTGACATTTAATTCCTGGTGAAAGGAAAACCCTCCAATTCCATACCCACCTTATTATCAGACATATTTATTTGAAATGTTCCACAGACTTTTCAGAAAAAATACTGCCTTTAACCAAATGCATCATGTTTTTACTTAAAACTGACTACTTCGTCTCATACTATTATGAACTCTAAAATTCAACATACATTTCTTGTTATACTTCAAAACCCACATATATTTTGTTACACTGCCATTTTGGATCATTGTATGTTATAGTATTTTTTGTCATTTCTATCCCTTTAAATGCTGCTGGGCAAATATTAATGTTGCAGAGAGGATACAAAGCAGAGAAAAGTTAACAATATAATATATTGTGATCTTATGTATAAGAATGTATCTAAGCAGTAGAGCACTTGTCTGACATTTTCAAATTCATAGGCTAGATTCAGGACATGCGAAAAAACAGAAACAGTACAAACACACAAAACTTAAATAAAAATGTATGATTTAACAAAAATGATAATATAGCACACATGTAAGATTTGCTAAATATGTGTGTGTAATCATCATTCTTATTAAGCTGTTATAACATCATGTTATATTCTTTAAATGTATGTAATTGTGTATGCCACTGAAAATGTTCTCATGTTTTACTTTATTACTGGATAGTTTTATGTCAACTAGACACAAACATGAGTCACCAGAGAGAATGGAATCTAAATTGAGAAAATGACACCATAAGATCCAGGTGTGCTCATGTTTGTGGGGCATTTTTCTAATTTAGGTGGTACCATGCCTGAGCTGGTGATCCTTGGTTCTGTAAGAAGGCAGGAGGAGCAAGTCAATGAGGAACATTCCTACTTGACCTCTGTGTCAGCTCCAGTCTCCAGGTTCCTGCCAGTTTGAGTTTCTGCCTTGACATTCCTTGATGATGAACAATGATTTGTAATCATAAGTGAAACAAACCCTTTTGCCCGCAAGTTACATTAGTCATTCCATTTTATAACATGAGTAGTAACCATGACTAAGACAAGGTGTGAGCCAAAAAGAAAAAGAAATCAATAGGAGAAACAACAACAACAAAGATCAGCTAGGTAAAAGTTGGGCTCCAAATAAAAAGATCTCGCAATTTACATACTTGTAATTCCATCTGTTCGTTAATATCAGTACTTATAGTGCATACTATGTTCTAAGAAAGAAGGTCCGTGTGTGCGTGCTGCATAGAAAGAAGCAGGTCAGATGAGATTTTCTTGTTTTTTGAATGGAATATAAATGTAAGCTTCTAGAATACAACTCTTGCTAAAACTCTCCCCAAGACAATGCTTTTTTTGATACAAATAAAGCTATGTAAGTATTTTTCAGCTTGCCTTGTCCTTATGAATACTAGTGCAACAACTTACACTGCCTGGGGAAGGCACACTCATGTTTGGAATGGTGTTGAAAACAAATGAAGCTATGATGGGCAGAACAAGGTTGGTGTGGTGACTGTTCACCCTAAGTTCTCTTTGGAACTGGTTTGAAAACAGTGTTGTTCATCAGTTTTCACCTGGGAACCTGTGTCCACACTAGGGGCATCTTCCTTCAAGCCCATTCTTCCTAGGTTTGCAATGAAATAGGTTAAAGCTGTGGTCTAGGTGATGCTGAAGATTCTTCAGATTACTCCTCCTCCTCATTGCCTCCATCCTCCTCTTGATTATTCCTCCTCCTCCTCCCCTTCCTTTTGCCTTCTTTTTCACATTGCAGGTGGCATCTTGACTTATATAGTCCCATTTAAAATGATCAAATGAATCTAACTCAAGTCCTCTTTGAATAATAATTCATCTCCTCCACCCAGAGTTTTACCTCAAGACTGTCTATCATTCCTTGCTCACTGAATCAGCAGTGCTGCTTTGGGTGTGCCAGCCCACTCAGAGATACCCATCAGGATTTCTTGATGCTCTTCTATTTCCGGAGAGTGCCATTTATGCTCCAAATGGGTTCTCTGACTTTGTATTTATGATGGGTCATATCTTTCTGACAAAGCTTTAAATTGGACCAGGTATTAGTTTGAGACATTAAAATTGAGGAATAGTTTCATTTTATATTCAAATCCTTTTCCCTGTATATTTCTTTAAATTTCATATGAAGGGTTCTGTGCGAGACATGCTTCTTTCCTACAGTAGCTTATCATGTGCAGATATTAAGAGCCAACTGACACTTTAACAGTCTATGTGGGAACCTCATTACTCCTATCAAAATTGTTATCACATATGCTTTCTGTCTTACAAGTTATTGCAGGTGACAACTTCACCAATTGCCATTCTCTATTCAACACTGGTGGCCACTTTTTTAGCATCGTATATCCATTATAAAAGTAAAAAATTCCATCTGTCACTCAATACCAGGGATAAAGCCACGAAAGTGAACGTCTTGGAATTGGTACACCGTACTTCAAGGTTGTAGTTTCTCTCTGAATCTTTAAATCTTCTGTCAGTTCCAGAAGCACACTGGCCTGAATTCATCCATGTAAAGGAATTTGTAAAAGAGCTATGAAAAGTTAATGATTTAGTCCTGTGGTACCTTCAACTCTATTAATATCCTGATGCTAATTTGAGTACACACGCAATTCCCAGATTCTACATATTAGGGAATACATAACAACACATTATAGAGACAAACCAAATAAATGTTACAAAAGAAAACATGTAAAGAGATTTATTGAACTAACTAGAGAAACCAGTATACCTCGAACTTCAGAAGTGAGCCAGTAGACCTAGTGAATTGGTGTGTTCCAATGCTATGACTCTATTCCCCAGGTGACATTTGCAACCCCAATCCATGTGAAAATGGTGGCATCTGTCTGTCGGGATTGGCTGATGATTCCTTTTCCTGTGAGTGTCCAGATGGCTTCACAAATCCCAACTGCTCGAGTGTTGTGGAGGTTGGTAAGTGCAAGATTTAAGCATTTCAGTAATCCCCATGATTAATGACTCACAGATATACCTCTTATGGACTGAAGATACTTTGTAAGACTGTATTAAGATTACTTGCCTGTGTTACTATCATTTTTGTTGTCTTTAGTTGGTATTTTAATTATTTTATTGGTATATTCTTAAGCACATCCTTGTTCTCAGTTTAGTGGTTAATAGGATAATTAAAATGCAAATAATAATTAAATAAAATCCATTCCATATACCTCTGATATTAATAAAAATACTTTATGCAAAGAAAGGAAATAATTCTTATGCTGAATTAGGTAAAATCTCTTCTGTAAATTTAGTAGGACTTTTAAAACAATTGATACTACAAACTGCCCTACTATCACTCCCATTCAGAAGACCTAATTAGATTTTATGCATATTTTCTAGGTTTCAGTCCAGAGTTTATGAGGCCACTAGCAGTGGAACCAACATTTATTCCTACTGCATGAGCTGGCTTTTTGAATCCAATACCCTATGGAGAGATACCTATCTCAGCCTCCATACATATAGGGGAGAAAGCCTTGGTCTTGCCTCAAGTGATATAACAGATTTTGTTTATTTCCCATGGGAGGTCTCACCCTCTCTCAGGAATGGATGTGGGAGGATGCAGAGGGAGCAGGAGGAAGAGGGAACTGCGGTTAGTATCTAACATAAGATGCATTTTAACCTAAATAACATTTTAAAAAAGAAAATGGGAATATAGAAAATGTGTATAATGTTTTATGTAAACTGATAACAATGTATAAAATCATATGAAAATATAAAATTGGAAAATGAAAATTGTTCTTTAAGAATGAAAAAAATTTCTCAAGGAATTCAGAAATAATTTAAAAACCAATATGTAAACTTCTGTACAATTTTATTCTTGGAGTCAAAGCAGAAGTATTTAGGTTGAAAAATAAGTTACAAAATTGTCTATCTGTTAAGTATGAAATTCAATCATCTTGAATAAAATGTTGTCAGACATCAAAATTGCAGGAAAATTGGACAGTTTGGAGGCTATTGGAGAACAATTTGGAAAATGAAAATTATTAGTGTTTGTAGCCAGCAATGAGTTTATGTTAGCCAGTGATGAGTTTGTGCCTCCTATCATTGTTTCTGATGCTTCTGACTAGGGTGTTTAGTAAGAGCCCATGAATATTTGCTGAACAATAAAAAGAATTACTAAATGAAATCATTCATTTGTCATGCCCAGACTACACTTTGAAATTTAATGTGTTTTATTTGTTAACATGCTTCTTATGTTTTTGTACCCCACTAGAATTATTGGATATGAAAATTGACTTGTTTTTTTAAAAGAACATTACTAGTGTAATTCACATCAAAGATAATTCTCTTCTAACACTTATTTAGTCAGCAGTATTTTATGGAGCTTGACATTATTCCATAGAAATAAAGTTGGTACAATCACTTTGACCTCATCTACACATATATAAAGTAGCATTTTATAGTTTAATATAAGAGTCATATATACATAAGTTTATATCCCCAAAGAAAATTATGCCTATAAGTGCTTCTACTAGGGGTGCTGAATTTTACAACTAAATTTAATTTCATTATTTAATGCCACCAATATCAAATTCATAGCTCTTTAGTAGGATACAATTTTTTGTCAATATTTTGAAAATTAAAATTCTGATTCATAGAAAAATATGATGAATATTTTTAATTGATTTTCAATTTTGAAATATTAAATCAACATCCATCACTTTCCCTGTGATAGCTTAAGAAAGCTATCACAATGCATATGAGAGTTCAGTGACATTTTAGGAACTGGATGCTTATATAAATATAATCATAGTTTTCTTATTTATATATATCTTTTATTTTTAAATTTAAATTAGAAACAAGGTTGCTTCACATGTCAATTCCAGGTCCCTCTGCGTTTCCCTTCCCCGTCCCGTGCCCTCCCACCAGCCCCCCCCAATATCCCCTCATTTCCCCAGGGAGGGTAAGGCCCTCTATGGGGGTGTCCATAGTCTGTCATTTCATCCACAGCATGGCCTAAACCCTCCCCCAAGAGTGCAGGGTGAGAGTGCATTTCTCATTGTTGATTGGGAGACCAAAGTCCAATTGTATACCCGGGATAAATACTGATCTACTACCCAAGGCTCAATAGATTACCTAGGCCTCCTCACTGACACCGACATTCAGGGGTCTTGATCAGTCCCATGCTGGATTCCCAGGCATCAGCCTGGGATTCAAGAGCTAACCCTTGTCAGGTCAGCTGTTTCTGGGGGTTAAACCAGCCCAGTCTTAATGCCTTTGGTCATCAGTCCTCCCTCTCTGTCACTGGATTTCTTGAGTTCAGCTCAATGCTTAGCCGTGGGATTCTGCCTCTGCTTCCATCAGCCACTGAATGAAGGTTCTCTTTCCCAGACTCTGGCCATGGGATTGTAGGCTGGCACTCTCCAGATATAGGTCTAAAATCCATATATGAGAGAGTATGTTCCATGTTTCTCTTTTTGTGACTGGGTTACCTCGTTCAGGATGGTTTCTTCTAGTGCCATCCATTTGCCTGAAAATTTCAGGATTCCATTGCTTTTTTTCTGCTGAATAGTACTCCATTGTGTAAATGTACCACATTTTCTCTATCCACTCTTCGGTTGAGGGGCATCTAGGTTCCTTCCAAGTACTAGCTATTACAAATAATGCTGCTATGAACATAGTGGAACACACATCCTTGTATGAATGGGCATCTTTTGGATATATGCCTGAGAGTGGAGTTGCTGGGTTTATTCCCATTTTTCTAAGGAATCTCCATACTAATTTCCAAAGTGGCTGTACAAGTTGACACTCCCACCAGCAGTGGAGGAGTGTTCCCCTTTCACCCCATCCTCTCCAGCATAAATTGTCATTGGTGTTTTAGATTTTAGCCATTCTGACAGGAGTGAGATGGTATCTCAGAGTTGTTTTGATTTCCATTTCCCAGATGGCTAAGTATGTTGAGCACTTTCTCAAGTGCCTCTCAGCTATTTTAGACTCCTCTATTGAAAATTCTCTATTTAGTTCTGTAGCCCACTTTTTAATTGGATCCTTTGGTGTTTTGGATACTTGCTTCTTAAGTTCTTTCTAAATTTTGGAGATCAGCCCTCTGTCAGATGTGGGGTTAGTGAATATTTTTTCCCTATATTGTGGGCTGCCTTTTTGTCTTGCTGACTGTGTCTTTTGCCTTTTCTTATTATGCTAGTAAAATCCTCACAATAATTAGAGGTTTGATGGTTAAATTACATTATTTTGACTACATTTGTTATAATATGTTTCCTACAACATAGCTCTTCATTAAGGTATATTTAGCTGTTCTTGGAAAAAGTGAAACTTTTTTCCACCTACAATGTAGCATACCGTAGATGTTTTAGCAATTCTTATCTCATGTATGGGATTTTAACATCAAAATAAGAAAAAAAATTCCTTTTGTGTGTTAAGTAGCAATGATGTTTTATAAAATAATCTGCGTATGCGTGCGTACACGTGTGTGTATCTAAAACAATATGTGTATGAGTGTGTATACAAATCTGTGTGTATATATAAAATTATCTGATAATGAGTATGTACATATCTGTGTATACACAGATGCGTGTATATAAAATAATCCGGGGATGCGTGTGTGTATATGCACATATGTGTGTGCATGACACACATGCATGTGATTGATGTGCATGTGATGTGGAAGCCACAGGAAGATTCTGTTGTCCTCTTCTACTGCTCTCCAGCTTATCATCTTGAGTCACGGTGGTATTTATGTGAGCCTGTGCTTGTTCAGGTAGACCAGCTGGCAGCAAGCCTTGGCAATCCTCTCTTCTCCATCTGATGCATCTCTGCAGTTCCAGCACATGTGGCTACACTTGGTTTTATATGTGGGTGCTTGAGATCTGCACTTAGGCCTTCATGCTTATACAGTCAGCATTACACCACACTGAACATTCTCCTCAGCCCTTTCAAAGTATTTCATAAAAGAGTGAATTTAGGAGAAAATAATAATTTCCAGGTTAGGTACTTTCACACAAGTGCATTGTTTGAATTTCTACAACCTCTTTCTCAAACCTATCTTTATCTAGCATGTATTAATGTTATATTGAACATTTGTTAGGAAAAATACTAATTACTAGTCCTTTTAATATCTTTCCTACTTTAGGACTTAGCCTATTTTTAAAATGTAGGGACCAAATATTTGAAGCCTAATCTTTTTAACACCACTCCTTCTGCCTCTTCAATTGATAACTACCTGAGATATTTTGTAGTCATTGTTTTCCATATTATGTAGCAACAGAGCAGAAAATGTCAAGAATAGTACGACCTTATGTATAAAAACATGAAAATGGAAAAGTAGATATTTTAAGGTAATATATTAAAAAACAAATAGCTATGAATATCATTGTATTTCTACTTACGCATTAATATCTTATTTAGTTACGCACATTTTATATTATTACAGAATGATATACATTTTACAATTACTTCATACTTTAAATATAGTTTTTATTCCACAAGAAAAGAAAATAAACTTACTCATTCTTGTGTACAAGATTTATGAAAATCGTATGAGTCTTCAGTCCTACACAAAGAACTATGGACAATGGAGAAAAGTTAGGAGCAGGAGAGGTGGGAAGAGCATAGCAACTGGCTGTCCATTCCTAAATGACAAACACTGAAACATACATATAAGTAGTATTTTAGAAACTGAGCAAGTTATATTTAGGAACACACACACATACATACATACAATAAAAATTAGTGAAAATGAGAAAATGAACTTGAGGGAGGGGGCATATATGACAGGATTTAGAGGGGGGAAAAGAAAAGAAGGAAAGAGAAAATTGTCATAATTGTAATATCAAAATTTTAAATATTTGTCTTTGTGCCATATTTTAAAATTACATTTTCCCAGTGATTTCACAATAAGTACAGGGTAATTTAAATGCATATCCAGGAAAATACCATCATGATTTTGCTTATAGACATTA